GCCTATCGTGTGTTTTGTATTCTTTTGTTGTTGTAACGACGTTCTGACCCCGCGCCCCACCTGGACGTGTGTGGAAAAGAGCTTTATAGCTCATCGGATTCCTCCCGCAGTACAAATAAGAGATTCTGATTCTGAGATGTCCACCGTAATACTCGCTGCAGTGTTGAGCACGCCTCGGGCGTGGTTCTGCGTTTTCAGGAATGGGAGCTGCAGCAAACGAGTGACGGACACGGCGGAGCGGATGTGGTGGCACGACATCAGTGGGCCTGTTCACAGCACTGCTGCTGCTGCTGTTGTTGTTTGCGTTGGAAAATTCCTGCCGAGTTTATTTTCATTGAGTTTCGATGACACGCACACAAAATAAACGTAAATGACATTGTATTGACTTTATTTTCGTCCTGGGAGAGATCAAATAGATATGTGTCAAAAAATCTTATTACGGTTCATGTGAAAACTTTTATATTGATTTGGGCACCAGAAATTGCCCCAGCATTTCACTGTGGTCTCAAGGGAATTCACTTCTCGGCCAATATGCCAAGTACGTCTGAAGCAGCATATACACACATATATACAATATACCGATATGGTATGTATAACTTGTTCGTCTGGCCATTCATAACTGCACCTATTATGTTTTTGGTTACATACCATCATGTGACACATTTTTTAAAAAGGCACAATTTGAATGTAAAAAAAAAATGTTCCATCACATGACACATTCAGCGACTTGGCAAACGTATTTTTGACATTTTGTCTAATTTACATTATATGTGAAAGATTTGCCTGTATACCTTAAACGACAAAAAAATGAATATATACATTTTGGCAGTTTTATGGTTGACAGACACGGTCTTTCAATATGAAACAAATAGTATGAAAAGGTTACAAGTTTGCCAAATATTAGTTGGAAGAAGTAATTTTGGAACAAGTGAAAGATCGGTTCACGCATGAATTCACGAGTTGATAGGGGTGCCGATACTACTGCTGGAATCGGGAAAACGTGGCAGCACACATCGTTGAGAACAGCTGACCAGAGAGATGGCCGAGAGACGACTTCACAGACCTTGGAGGTCGCTACAAGACCGGAGGAGCAGCTGCGCTAAAGGAAGAAATGGAGAAATTGAGGTGAACTTTGGCCAATGGTGGGTGGTTATCCGCCGATAAGTGCCACCGTAATTTTAATCAATTTGTACCGATCTTTGAACTTGCATTGTTCAAACTGTCAATACGCGAGTCGGTCCAGTGCGAGGGTACGTCGATGGAAGAGACCGATGGCCGATGATCAAGAATAATAAAGGATTTGCAAACAAGGGAATGGCATGCGCCGAGAGGGCTACAACCGGGGAGATGGAGCGATGAAATCGGTTCGTGCGCAGGTGCCGGGGGGGGGGGGTGATTACATCGCAGGATCGTGAGGGTTGGTGACGGATTAGGGAGGCTCTCATCTAGCAGCAGGGACGTGCGGTCAAGGGAAACAGGGCCTCACCTGTCATAACTCCAATGAAAATAGCTGTTACGAAAAGTAAAAAATAAAATTAAAATTTAGATTTTTTCCCACTGATCTGTGTTATAGATGTAATTTCTATATGATTCCAATCATTACAGAGATAATAACAGGCAGGCGCTTGTTGCCCGCGCTCCATCCAGTGTCTGAGGGATTGTGCAATCAGAGGGGAGGCTGCTGAGTTCGTTGCTCCCTCGCCTCTCGTCGTCTCCCTGTATTCGCAGCGGAGCTTCGCAAATTTGGCGATTTTGACTTTTAAAAATGATTGGAATCGTACAGAAATGACATAACACAGATCAGTGAAAAAAAAATCTTAATTTTTATTTGATTATTTTTAACTTTTCGTAACAGCTATTTTCATTGGAGTATGACAGGTGAGGCTCTGCCTCCCCTGACCGCACGTCCCTGTCCAGCAGTGGATTGGCCATCACCGATGATGGTGAATTTTCCCCCCCGACCGTTTTGAGCGATCCTTTGCAATTTCCACGACGAAACCGATTCTCGCGTGAATCCACAATAAAGGTTTTTGGGTTAGATCGCGTAAATATTGTGTCGTTAAACCAACGAATTGTAAATGCTGTGGGTTTACTCTCAAACACACCGGTGTGCTGTACCAAGTAATGAATTGGCATGTTTTGTTTACGTGACAAACCTAATTGGCTGTGTCGGGTGGTGGCGGGTTTAACGACGCATTTATATTTACGCTACCCAAAAAATCCTCTTGTGGATACTATTGGTCGCAAAAGCCCACGTCACGCATGGGTGTTTCGACATTTTGGAGTAAGCTGTACCCCTATCGGAGCTGATGAGTTTATAACGAGATTCGTTTTGCAATTGTTCCTGAAAGACCAAGGTTAAACTTATCGTTAATTCTCAGGTAGTCACAACAGCCTTGACTCATCCCTGTCTAGTGCACACCACGCACCGCTTTCTGCGGTGGGTCAAAGCCAACACGTGATTTATACCCATTCGCCATGAATATTTAGTCATTTCAACGTTGTTCCTGCTTTTTAGACAATTTGTAAAGTACTGTATAACAAGGCGTGAGAGATGTGAGGGGTGCTGAAGGCCATGGGCAGATATATTGCGATGGTGGTCACGGGGGGGGGGGGCAATGCCTCGCCCAAAATAAATATATTAACTTATTTTCAATAGTTCACAATTAAGATAAACAAAGAATACGTCAATTATATTCGCCCGCGATTCCTGTGAGGGACAAAGCAAAAGCCCCTGCCCGTCACGTGCAGAAGTCAAACTCCGCCTATGCTGAAGGGTCATGCACACACCACAAAGCGGTACAATGGACATATGTGAAAAAGAGCTTCGTAGATCATCGGATTTCTCCAGCAGTAATAATAAATACAAATTCAGATTTTTGCATCGCGCTAATTTAACGGGCTATAGATATGAATGTAGAACTTGAGCTTTTGTTTATTTTGTACATACAGTATGTGATCTCGGAAAAAAATAATCCATTTGTGAAACGCGCATTAAGATGATTTAGCTGCTATAAATTTCCACGTGATAAGCCACTTTGTTGAGCTATCATCTGTGGCCAGGTCGCTTCTGAAAAATAAGTGAATACCTCCGTGGTCTTTGCCTGGTATGATGGGGATGGTTTAGTGTTTGTATCCGTATGTGTTTTGGTGATTTGTTTACCTCTCTCCTACTTTGCACTACTGTCGTGTTTTTTGTTGTGTTTGTTGTTGTAACGTTCTTACCCGCCCCTACTGGACATCTGTGAAAAAGAGCTTCGTAGCTCATCGGATTCCTCCTGCAGCATAAATAAACATTCTGAGTCTGCTTGCCTATGCTAACAATGCTTGATAATATTGTACGTGGAGAGCCGATAGTCTAAAGCCACGTTTCTTCACATGCGCGTGTGGAGACGGCAGTGGGGGGAGGGGAGCGGCAGTGTAGTGGTCAGCGCTACGCTTCTAATCCGGCGTCTCCCGAGTTCGACTCCAGCTCACGGCCAACACCGGTGACGGATATCTGAACCGGTCCTGGGCCTCCCCTAGGTCGACTCAGCCTCAGATGAGTACGGTGTAAACATTGCCATGGGGCGAGGTGCTGGCCCCCCTAGTGTGCCGCGCCGGCCTTCATAGGCGCTAACTCGCTAACAGCACTTGCCTCAACATTTTGTAAAGGCTACACGGGGGGGGGGGGGGGGGGCGGATCTTTGTCTTTGGAGACAGCACGCGGTGTTATTTGCGATGCATTCCTAATGCCGCGCCATCTGATTGTTGTAAGATTCGACTTGCCACGAGTTACTCTCGACGCACCGCCGATAGTGGCACGGTGGGCCGACGGCACGGCGCGAATGAGGTTCAAAGAGACCGGTCCGCGCGAAAACGCCACCGGTGATCACTCGCGCGGGTCGTTGGAAGATTATCGGCAACGGTGGGTGGCGAGCGTTATATTTGTTTAAAAAAACACATTTTTTTTGTTTGTGTCCACCGACATGGCGAATTGAGATTGCGAGGGAGACGCGGCGTGAGATTGCGAGGGAGACGCGGCGTGAGATTGTGAGGGAGACGCGGCGTGAGATTGCGAGGGAGACGCGGCGTGAGATTGTGAGGGAGACGCGGCGTGAGATTGCGAGGGAGACGCGGCGTGAGATTGTGAGGGAGACGCGGCGTGAGATTGCGAGGGAGACGCGGCGTGAGATTGTGAGGGAGACGCGGCGTGAGATTGCGAGGGAGACGCGGCGTGAGATTGCGAGGGAGACGCGGCGTGAGATTGTGAGGGAGACGCGGCGTGAGATTGCGAGGGAGACGCGGCGTGAGATTGTGAGGGAGACGCGGCGTGAGATTGCGAGGGAGACGCGGCGTGAGATTGCGAGGGAGACGCGGCGTGAGATTGTGAGGGAGACGCGGCGGGAGATTGTGAGGGAGACGCGGCGTGAGATTGTGAGGGAGACGCGGCGGGAGATTGCGAGGGAGACGCGGCGGGAGATTGTGAGGAGACGCGGCGTGAGATTGCGAGGGAGACGCGGCGGGAGATTGTGAGGGAGACGCGGCGGGAGATTGTGAGGGAGACGCGGCGGGAGATTGCGAGGGAGACGCGGCGGGAGATTGCGAGGGAGACGCGGCGGGAGATTGCGAGGGAGACGCGGCGGGAGATTGTGAGGGAGACGCGGCGTGAGATTGTGAGGGAGACGCGGCGTGAGATTGTGAGGGAGACGCGGCGGGAGATTGCGAGGGAGACGCGGCGTGAGATTGTGAGGGAGACGCGGCGTGAGATTGTGAGGGAGACGCGACGTTCTTAAATCGACGCGGTGCTCCACTGCCCCGCGACCACTTGAAGAAGAAGAAGCAGCAGGAGCAGAAAAAGTAGCTCCGGGCCGGAGGTGTCAACCCGGATGCGCGCGCGGAGGGATACACCCCCTCACCCCCGTCCCCCTCCCCCCGGGCCCCTCCCCCCCCCCGGCCCCTCCCCCCCCTCGTCACAGCGCCGGGGGTGGCGCGCGGAAGGTTACACTCGCACGCCGGCGAAGCGGCCGCGTACGGCGAGCGAGGGGAGTCAAGAGATTTGAACGCGCGCGGAAGGCGATTGGCGACTGAGGCGGCGGCGGCGGCGGCGGTGGTGGCGGGGCGCGGTCTCTGGACCGTTCTCCTCTTAGTGTCGTTGCTAACAAACAATTGAATTTAAACGAGGAGGAGGAGGAGGCGGCGGCGGCAGCGACGACGGGGAGGGGGGTTGTTTTTTTGTTTGTTCGTTGTATACACCCTCGTGCACCGAGTATTCTTCACGCGTGTCGCTGGGTTGGTGGTGTTGGCGGCGGCGGCGTGGGGGAGCGTGGATTACGCGGCGTTCGTATCGGTTGGGAGCTCCCCGCTCGCCTCGCCTCGCCTCTCTCCGGCTTTTGGAATTATCACGAACCCCGTGCGGGGGTTGCGAGTTGTCGAAGGCGACGGGGGTCGAGGATCCCTCCCCACCTCCCCCCCCCACTTACCCCCCCACCATCCTCCCAACAACAACCGCAACCACCAACCAACCAACAACCCCCTGTTTGGAATTCATGCTGAATTGTTGATGAAGTAGCCTCGGAAGGTAAGCGTCAACAAACGTGTGGTCGTGTGCGCGTGCGCTCGCTTGTCAATTCCGCGGCGGCTTCGAACTCTCTCTCTGACACAGCGGGCAAAGTTTTAAGAATTCGGATCCGTCGTGGATCGGGAAGGGGGGGGCGGCGGTGTAGCTGTGACAATCTCCGTGTCCGCCTTTGCACGAACACAAATCATCTCTCCTCTCTCTCTTCTCACGGGGCTCTTTTACCTCAGCCGCACGCGGCTCCGTCGCGAACAGTCGCGAATCGTGACTCGCTCGCCCCCCATCTCCTTCTTCTTGCGGCTGCCCATTGTTCTTCACTGTTTGTCGACTCGCGACCGGACGGACGGCCGGCCGGCCGGGGGGTGCCGCGTGTCGGTCGGCCTGCCCCGTGGCTTCGTGTTTTGGATGGTGGTTGTCGTCTTGCGGGACTGTTAAGTGAGCGAGTGCCGCCTCCTCCATCACCCCCCCCCCACTCTCTATCTCTCTTTCTCTTCCGTCCCATGTCGCTCCCTGGACCACCGTCACGTTGTGGGCTTCACCCCCGCTCGGTGCCACGTTGTCAATAACCGATGTTCGGCGGCCCCCTTTTCATTAATAAGAGTTCACCCCCCCTCTGTAAATGTCGACTTTTTGTTTGTTTGTTTAAAGTGGTCTCTAACACCGTTCGTATCGCTCACCGCCCCACGTGTGTGTGTGTGCTCGCTGTGTTGTGTAGGCGCATCATTGTCTTGGGGGGGGGGGGGTCGTACATGTTACCGAAAGAACCAAGAATGTGTTGCATGTTGTCGAGGCGCCACGCTGAACGCGTTTCGCTCGCACCCACGGGTGAGTTCAGTCACGGGTGCTTTGGTAGGCATCATCATCATAGTCACCACCACCAACCACCGCAGCGGCGGTGTCATATCTCCACATTCGCAGTGGCTGGACACTCGCAACTTAATTTCTCCGTGGTCTACACTGCACACACCACACACTACACTACACACACTGCACACACTGCACACACGCACACACTGCACAAACACCGCACACACTGCACACACATCACACACTGCACACACATCACACACTGCACACACACCACACACTGCACACACACTGCACACACACCACACACACACCACACACTGCACACACTGCAAACACACCACACACTGCACACACACTGCACACACACCACACACCGCACACTACACCACACACTGCACACACCACACACCGCACACTACACTACACACACTGCACACACACACTACACAAACACCACACACTGCACACACACTGCACACACATCACACACTGCACACACTGCACACACATCACACACTGCACACACACTGTACACACATCACACACTGCGCACACACCACACACTGCGCACACACCACACACTGCGCACACACCACTACACACACACGCCACACTGCACACACCACACGCACCACACGCACTGCACACACCACCGCACACACTGCACACACCACCGCACACACTGCACACACACGCCACACTGCACACACACCACACACTGCACACACACGCCACACTGCACACACACCACACACTGCACACACCACCGCACACACTGCACACACACGCCACACTGCACACACACCACCGCACACTGCACACTGCACACACACCACACACACCACACACTGCACACACACCACACACACTCGCCACACTGCACACACACACACCACACTGCACACGTCTGGTTATATAGGTCCCTGCATGTGCGAGCTTGTTCGCATGGCCAGCCGTGTTGTGTTCCCTGTCACTCTCTCCCGAGTTCGCTCGCTCGCTCTTTTTACCGCCACCGTCGACGCTATGGTGGGTGACTTTGAAACAGCAACAGTTAGGTTCTTCGTCATTCCTCCTAAGCACCCCCACCACCATCGCATCCCTCCAACTTTCTCTCCACGCCAAAGGCGCACAATAAGAGAAGGGGGGGGAGGCTCGAGGTTGATGAGTGGAGAAAGTCCCGGAGAGAGAGGATGGATGTGGTGGTTGTTTGGTGGAGGGGGGGGGGGGAGACCTTGCCATAGCACCTCCATTCCTCTCGCTCGTTTTTTTTTCAAACCCTCTCTCCCATCTCTCTCCCTGCACCAGAAACTCTTTGTTCGCAGTCGTGGGCAGGGCTAAGAGGAGGGGGGGGGCGGGGAAAATGGGGTTCAGGACTCTCTGAAGCTTTCCATTCTAGCATTTGAGACTTTTGCCATGCAAGCGTCGTGTGTACATATAAACAACCGTGTGGCGGCAGCCGACGGCTCCGGTCGCACTGGCAAACGCCTCGGCCACCTCCGTCTCAAGCGACACGGGACAAAGACAAAGATCCCCCGCGTAGCCTGTGACGGGACTTGTTTGGGCCAAGTGCTGTTCGCGAGTAAGCGCCTATGAAGGTGGTGGTGGTGGGGGGGTAGACCAACAACAAACACGCCCCGGCCGCCTTTGTCTCCCCAGTGGGGATGTTTACACACCAGGTACACATTTTGAGGCCGAGTCAACCTAGAGGGGTGGGGGTTGCTTGTGTGGCTTGTGAGCCGTGGGTTCGTAGCGCGGCGCAACTGACCGCTAACGCGACCGTTCCCCCCTCCCTCCGTGTGTCGGGAGACGCAACAATGGACATCGTTACGAACCTTTGACGCCCCCCTCCCACCCTGTCATAACCGAGGCATCACACTAACAACAACAACACAACAACAACAACCACACACACCACACACACCACGACACGTTACGAGCGACACGCCACCGCGGTGTTTTAAGCGTCCCACGTTTGTCACTCTCATTCGCAGTGATATGAATGACAGTCCTCCCCCCTCCGTGTGTGATCTCACCCGGTGGTTGTGCGGCGTTATCGCGACTGTTGCAAGTCGGCAACTCCGAGAGAGAGAGGCAGCTGCTGTCCGTGTCTCTGTGCGTGGCCGTGAGCTGCGGTGCAGAGGGGGGGAGAGACCAGCCACACTGAGGCCGGGTCGGTGCCGCAGCGTCGGCTATCCGCTGTGGTCACCGCTCGCATAAACGGAGGGAAATAATCAGAATGCAAGATGGAAACGATGCGACCACTGTACACTGGAGTCGGCTCGCGTCTCCCCCCCCCCCCCGCCGTTGTGTGTATGTGTGTGTGTCTTTGTGTGTTTGTGTGTGTGTGTCTGTGTGTGTCTGTCTCCGTGCTGAGCCACGCTACCCCAACCCCCACACGGCTCCCCACACCCCTGCCACAGCCACCCTCCTCCCTTCTTCACGCTCCTACCAAGCCACTCACGACTACCCCCCCCACCCACCCCCTCTGTTCTCTTTCTGCTAGAAGCATGAACCCACAGCAGCGAATCGCGGCTCTGGGTACGGACAAAGAACTGAGTGACCTCCTCGACTTCAGTGCGGTAAGGGCCGAGTGACGGCGGTGGGGCAAAGAGGGGTGGTGGTGGCGGTGGTGGTGGGGCAAGGGGGTGGTGGAGGAGGAAGGGGTTGGTAGCGGTGGAGGAAAGTGGTGGTGGTGGGGTAAGAAGGGGTGGTGGTGGGGCAAGGTGGTGGTGGGGCAAGGTGGTGGTGGGGCAAGGTGGTGGTGGAGCAAGGTGGTGGTGGGGTAAGAGGGGATGGTGGTGGGGCAAGGTGGTGGTGGAGCAAGGTGGTTGTGGGGTAAGAGGGGTGGTGGTTGGGCAAGGGGATTGTGATTATGGTAGTGGGGCAAGGTGGTGGTGGTGGTGGTGGAGGAAGGGGGTGGAACAAGAGGGGATGGGGTGGTTGTTGCAGCAAGGGGTGGTGGTGGAGCAAAAGGCTGATGATGATGGTGCCTAGTGGTGGAGCAAGGGGTGGTGATGCGAGGAGAGAGTGAGTCCCGAGTTCCCATACAGGAATCATGATGATAATGTTCAATGTCTCTCTTGAGCTGTGCTCCTTGAGGAATGGGGTGGCTGGCTTGCTTCTCTGCACGTGTCCGAGTTGGAATTCGGTTACGGTATTTCCGGGATTATAAGATGCACTTCCACGTCACCCTCCCCCCACCCCCTTCGTGTACCGTAGTATTCCAAAGCCAGACTTGGTGTGCGCCCTGTGTGCAATGGCTTAAAATGCATCTCGTAATGCATGCATGTGTGTGGAGCGGTAGTGTAGCGGTTAGCGCGCTGCGCTATTGACCTGACGACATGGGTTCGATTCCCGCTCACGGCCAACACCAGCGACGATTATCTGAACTGGTCCCAGGCCTCCCCTAGGTCGACTCAGCCTCAAATGAGTACCTGGTGCGGTGTGTAAACATTGCCACTAGGGAGACAAAGGCGGTCGGGCGTGGTGCTGGCCACCCACCCCCTCGTGTACCGTTCCGGCCTTCAAAGGTGCTCGCTAACAGCACTTGCCCCGACAGTCTGTTAAGGCTATATGGGGGATCTTTGTTTTCTTTGAATATGGTGCTGGTCGTGCGTGGTCCTGCCCACCCACCCCTCTCGTGCGCCGTGCCGGCCTTCATAGGTGCTGCCCGCTAACGGCACTCGCCTTCCAACAGTCTTATTAAGGCGACACGGGGGGCGTCTTCGTCTTTGTTTTGTGCGTCTTCTTTGTTTTGTGCGTCTTCGTCTTTGTTTTGTGCGTCTTCGTCTTTGTTTTGTGCGTCTGTTGGAACTCCTTAGCCGACCGTGGGAATCGGAGGTGCATTATATCCGGTGTATGTGACCAGATGTAACGCCATTCCGTACCGTAGCTTGTTTCGTCCCAGCCCACACCGTGCCCAAACCACCCACACCCTACAGGTCACGACGCTTTTGTCTCTCTCTGTGTATTCCTTCTCCGTCGCTCCGCTCCACTTTGTGCAATTCCCTCCCCCCATCTTCTCCTGTCCCCACCACCCCACCCCTCCAAGCTCGAATGACAGCCGTTTTATCAGCGCGGTTCCGCTCTCGTCGGTTAGGACTTCGACGGTGCTGTTTGTTGCTGGAACGTCCGCGACTTTTTTTATACCGTTGGATCTGTGCTCAAATTTTTTGTGTATATATAGGTAAAACACATTGGTATAACTTTATTGACAACAGGGCAACACTTTTGATGTCTTATAATACCGGTGAACGTGGTGTGAAACGACCCGTCGTGTTTCGTACATGTGCGGGTGGAGCTTGCGTGTGTAGTGTAGCGCTTGGCGCTACACTGCACTACGAACCCGGCAGTGACCGAGTTCGATTCCCGCTCACGGCCAACACCAGTGCCGATTATGTGAACCGGTCCTGGGCCCCTCTTAGGTCGACTCGGCCTCAAATGAGTTCCTATGTGTGGTGTGCGTAAACGGTGCCACTAGGGAGACAAAGGCGGTCGGGCGTGGTGCTGGTCACCCACCCCTTCGTATGCCGTGCCGGCCTTCATAGGTGCTACTCGCTAACAGCACTTGCCCCAACAGTCTGTTCAGGCTATACGTTGGTTCTTTGTCTTTATGTGTTTTTTTTATAACCAAGCAGATAAGTCTCATCAGTGGGTACTGTATATTCTTCCTGCATGGTGCACAGCATGGCCCAGATTTATTGTCGTGTTGTCGGTAGGGGATGGGAGGGTAACACTTGCGACGGCCACGGTAACCTCACTGTTACATTGGCCCACTACAGTGCGCAATGATCGTGCCCAAATCGGCTGTCGCCTCGCGGAATATCACAGCATCACCTGGCGTGCTCGGTTTTTACAAGCCGAGATAAAATATGATTGTAAGCCAAGGGTTGCCCTGGCAGGCATTTGAACTCACGACTTCATGCTCCACATGATTTGGGAGCATGCTGCTTCACCTACGCAGTGACGTTCCTGTGAATGAATGTAATATACGGTACGGTATGTAATACAGACTTGGCCGAAATAGGTATTTTTTTTAAAGGACAGCACATGTTAAATAATTTCAAGTGGTGTAATGAATGGGGTGTCACCAAAATAAGGTAAATCCAACATACACACGGCTCGAGTGGATTTCACATCGGCAGCTGTCCCAAGGGCCATTCGTAAAAGCTCTTTATGTGTTTTAAACACGGTTGCTGAACACAACGGGACCCTAGGCCCAGTACGTCGAGCGGCCAGCAGCAAACTGCACTGTTGACGTTTTAATAGAAAAGAGTGTAACACGTTTATTGAATTGAGCAAGGTTATTATTAATGTAAGAGCTTGGGGAAGAGACGACGATGGGAGGGAATTCCAAGGTGGAGGGAGCAGTGCGAGGGAAGTGACCTGCAGTGTGGTGAGTGGGTGGGTCAGTGGGCAATTAAGTGCTGTGTATGTATGTTGAATATCTTTCGCACCATACGTAGCCAACCGTGCTAATTGGAGGTGTGAATCTCAACTAAACTTTTATTTTAAACTAAACTTGTTATTTTACCAGTTAAAAGCCTACTGAGTTACGTAGCTCGTTTTCAGAAGCGACCTGGCCACAAATAATAGCTCAATGAAGTGGCTTATCACGTGGAAATTTATAACAGCCAAATACTCAATAAACGCATGTTTATAAATGTGGAGGAAAAACCGGATTACCCAGGGAAAAAATCCACATGACTACAGGGAGAACACGCAAACTCCAAATATACAGCAGCATGCGTCAGGGTCAGGGTCGAACCCACGACCTCCTGCATACTAGGTGAGGTAGTTACCATCACGCTACTGCGAGTCATTATCTTTCTCATTAGGTAAGCGTATTTTTCACACGGCATAGATACTGAGGTTCAGTATGGGATATATGTTTCCATTTGTTTTGGATTACATCTTCCTTTAAGTAAAACAAATGTCTCTTTTAAGTATGTAAAGCACGGCATTACAGCCGATTACAGTTAAGCTGATCGAGTCAAGCGACACCACTACTGCTGCCCAGTTCACAATGCCCTGCATGGTTTTTTATATATTTATTTTCTCTCCTGTTACATCCCAAATGTGCTTTGGGCATGAAGGCACATGGCAACGTACAGTTCTCAGCGATCCATCGTGCAAGCTATGCAGACCATCGTCAATACTGGAACACAGCTTCACAATAGACACGATGAAACCTCTTGGCTTCTCTTTTTAGCAGGCCTCTCTCTGACACCATGGAATTGGCTATCGAGTGTTGCCGTATTTCCCAGCTGCCAGAACTGGTAAATTTTCTTAACAATGTCCGAATTTTGGCAATGCATTCACAAAACAGTATCTCAATGGGTGAGGGTCCTACTTTTTAAGGTTTGAAGACTTTAAATGTTTGTGTGTGTGGAAGGATATTGCAGTGCTTGGACAAAATGCGCGGGTACATGGGAAAGGACACGCAACTCACAAAAGATCCACCTACTTGCTGTACTGCTAGCTACCATTCTGCCCTTGCTTTGGTTACCTCCGTCATAAGCTCTCAACAAGATCCATCAATATCCACCACCTACCTATTTCTTTATAGGCGCATGCCACGACACGTAGTTGTACAGCACTCTTGTCAATCCACTGCTGGATGAGGGTCTCTCCATGCCGTGCGAATCGTGGGCGTTACTTGACCATACTTCACACTAATCAGTGTGACTTCGTTGTAGGAGTATAGAAACAGGGCCATAGTACAGTACAGCAGTTGATTTTGCTACACTGCCCTCTGCTGCTCACACATGGAAAATTTAAGCGAAACATTGGAAACTAAGATCGAATGAATGAGTTTTTTTTACAGATACAGTGAGGTAAAAAAGTATTTGATCCCCTGCTGATTTTGTACGTTTGCCCACTGACAAAGAAATGATCAGTCTATAATTTTAATGGTAGGTTTATTTGAACAGTGAGAGACAGAATAACAACAACAAAAATCCAGAAAAACGCATGTCAAAAATGTTATAAATTGATTTGCATTTTAATGAGGGAAATAAGTATTTGACCCCTCTGCAAAACATGACTTGGTACTTGGTGGCAAAACCCTTGTTGGCAATCACAGAGGACATAACGTTTCTTGTAGTTGGCCACCAGGTTTGCACACATCTCAGGAGGGATTTTGTCCCACTCCTCTTTGCAGACCTTCTCCAAGTCATTAAGATTTCGAGGCTGACGTTTGGCAACTCGAACCTTCAGCTCCTTCCACAGATTTTCTATGGGATTAAGGTCTGGAGACTGGCTAGGCCACTCCAGGACCTTAATGTGCTTCTTCTTGAGCCACTCCTTTGTTCCTTGGTCGTGTGTTTTGGGTCATTGTCATGCTGGAATACCCATCCACGACCCATTTTCAATACATGGCCCCGTCCATCGTCCCTTTGATGCGGTGAAGTTGTCCTGTCCCCTTAGCAGAAAAACACCCCCAAAGCATAATGTTTCCACCTCCATGTTTGACGGTGGGGATGGTGTTCTTGGGGTCATAGGCAGCATTCCTCCTCCAAACACGGTGAGTTGAGTTGATGCCAAAGAGCTCCATTTTGGTCTCATCTGACCACAACAC